GCCTTACCTTGAAAAGGTCCAAATTTCTTGTCGCGACCTTAATGGCCCCGTCGTGTGCCTTTATGAAATAATCTGCAAGCATAGCGAAAGAGTCAATAGAATTAGGCGGTAAATTATGATACCAAATCATAGCACCCTTCGATAGGGTCTCCCCGAATTTCTTCAGCAATACGGATTCAATCTCATCATCTTTCAAGTCATTTCCCTTGATGGCGCACGTGTATGAGGTGACGTGTTCGTTTGGATCAGTCGTCCTGTTATACTTAGGAATCTCGGGCATACGAAACTTCTTGGGGATTGGCTTCGGAGCTGCACTCGGGGGGAAAGGCTTTTGTACAAACGTTTTGGAATCTAGTCCTTTCAGTATTGGTGGTGCCCCCGGGATTTGGTCGACCCTGGAGTTATAAGTTTCCACCTTCTTATCGTTTTCCTCGATCTTCTTTTCCCCCGTCTCGATTCGCTTCGTCAATTCTTCAAGCATCTTTATGATAGCAGGATTGGTTCCTCTATTCCTTCTCATTCGGCTTCCTCGAGGCCGATTTGACCCTGTGTATGACTTTCTGGGATTCGAGCTCGATCCTACTCGGAGCGTGGTTCTGATTTTGGAGCTGGGCTATCGCCGCCTGTTGGGCCTGCAGCATCTTCACTGCCGTGTACGTTCTAAGTAATTGATCGGGTTCCCCCGCGAATGCTACTTTTGGGATCGACGACCAAATTTCCATCAACGGCTACGTGAGAACTAACGTCGATTGGATCTACAGCTGGAATTCCATCGAGACCAACAGGGGGTGCAACGTTTCCTGGTACAATGTTCTCATTTTCGCCGTGGTTGCTGAGACCATTGTTAGTGTGTTGAGGTGTTGATTGAGAGTTCGATATTTTTTAATCTTGTAATCAAAGATACTTCAAAGAACAAGTGTAAAATAGTGTGTGTTACGAAAATTTGTACCAGGCAATCACTATTATCCTTAGCCCCAAGGTGGGTGCCAAACTGTTTACTCTAAAAAACGGATAACAATTAAATTTATACTGTGGTTTTAAGGACACGTGATCTTACTTGATATAAACTAAGAGAGAACGTAAATAGATATTGAAGTTAAATAAAAATAAAGCAAACTGAATGAGATGTCTATCTTTGATCCTCGAGCTAGGTCACCCTCGAATCAGATAAGTATTTTATTGGAAAGTATGAATAGAATAGCAAAGTATTGAGAGCTTAAGAAGATGATATAGTGCTTTATGTAACGTGAATATGATGATCTTTACAAATGATCAGACCCCCTTTATATATTAGGGGAGTCCTACTCTTGGTACAATTCTAAATACAGTAAGAAATCCCATGATTGGCTAATTAATCGGCCTCTTCTTGATACATGCTGAGATTTCCGCCGTGATCTTCGTCCGACTGCGGATATTTTGGTTTTTCGTTATTTGGCTCGGTAAGCTTTCCTCGGTCTTGCTCGATCTCTATCCTACCTGGCTCCGATCTTAGCCGACCTCGATCTCGATCTCGATCGGTCTCTGGGTCTCGAGCTCGGCAGTCTAACTTTACGCCGTGGTCCGATATAATGTAGGGTCGAACCTTGGTCTGCCTCGTTTCAAGTCAAGCCCGATTTTGACCGTATACAGGTCTATAATTAATTGCAATAAATACTTGTCTAACTATAGTTAAGAAACAATAACTTTTGCAAAATCAACAACAAAAATAGACCCAAAAAAAGAAGAAGAAGGAATTAGGTCGTTTAAATTGGAATCATGTGGCTAGGGGTGTACATAGGTCGGGTTGGTTCGGATTTTATAATTATCAAACCAAACCAATTGTGTCGGGTTATTAAATTTAAAGACCAAACCAAACCAATAAAACTCGGGTTTTTCAATCTCGGGTCTTCGGGTTATTCGGGTTTTTTCGGGTTTTTTTTCGGTAAAATCTTCGTAGAACAAAACATATAACTTGTGCTCAAAATTTTTCTTTAATCCTAGTAAGATACAACTATATAAAGTATTTTCCAAGAAAATAATACAAAATATGAGATGTGTCATGGCATTATCCTAAAATATTCAACAATAAAATTATGTAATATAAATATTGCTAATTAAAAAGCCATAATAAAAGTAAACATAATCTAAAAGTACTAAGTCATGCTAAAATAAGTAGACTAATAAGGGAGTATTAATCACATGACTAAACGCTAAAGAATAAATAAAAATAGGTTATGCATTTTTATCTAAATTATTGCAAAACAAAAAATAGATATTCAATGCATTCCCGTTCGTAGTATTGAGTTGAATGTCTTTTGTTAGAATTAGTATTGATTTGATTTTGGTTTGCACTTTTGTTAGCATTATTTAATTTACTAATATTAATGACTATAAAACTTATTGGAACATTCAAAAGTTCTAAGTCCAACCTTGAAATAATACCTTAAAAGATAAAATTATGAATTCTTTTTAAGAAATATTTATAAATTACATCACAATATTTATATATTAAATATATCTAAAAATTTTATATATGTAATGTCGGGTTGGTTTGGTTTCGGTTTGACTTTCTTTAGTTAAAACCAAACCAAACCAAACCCAATTATGGTCGGGTTTTTTTTTCCAACACCAAACCAAATCAAACCAAACCATAGTCGGGTTTTTTTCTCGATTTAACTCAGATTATCGGGTTGGTGCGGTTTGTCGGTTTCCTTTGTACACCCCTACACGTGGCTATTGGACTTACCTCGCGGTAAGGATCCCTCCAGTTCCGGTACACCCTTAAATGAGTAGAAATTGCGTGGGGTAGCCACTATTTAAGGTGATATTTATTTTTTATCCAATAATTCTAATGTTGAGCAAAAATAGCCACTACTCTATTAAAATTAATATGAAAAGATATTTTTACCCTTTCTTCCATTGCTTTTCTTCCCAAACCCTCGCTTCTCTCTCAAGTTCGATACCCAATCGTTTTTCGTTTTCTTTCCAGGAGATATCCTAGTTTCAATTTCGTTTTCTTTCCACGAGACATTTTTACCCTTTTCTTTCATTATGCTTTGATTTCTATCAGAATGTCATTTTTATTGACATTTAAAGAAAAAGGCAAATGTGCAAGGTCAGAACAGAATGCGTTACACCATTTGAACGAGAATTCACCAATTTGAGTTTTTACTTTTTTTACTCTAATTACAGATATCTAAGTCTCTACGTGTTAACCAAAGATCTTGGAATTATTGGCATGGAAACTAAGATTTCAAAAGTTAAGGACACTTGGTCCAGAACTTAGACTAACAAGCTCAAAAGGTAAGGACAATAGGTCCTGAACTTACAGTTACAAGTTCAAAAGTTAAGGACAATAGGTCCTGAACTTAGGCTAAGAAGCCCAAAAGTTAAGGACAATAGGTCCTAAACTTAGACTAACAAGCTCAAAAGTTAAGGACAATAGGTCCTGAAGTCCTGAACTTAGACTAACAAGCTCAAAAGTTAAGGACAATAGGTCCTGAACTTAGGATAAGAAGCCTAAAAGTTAAGGACAATAGGTCCTTAACTTAGACTAACAAGCTCAAAAGTTAAGGACAATAGGTCCTGAAGTCCTGAACTTAGAGTTACAAGTTCAAAAGTTAAGGACTGTAGTCCTGAAGTCCTGAAGTTAAGTTCAAAAGTTAAGGACATGTAGTCCTGAAGTCCTGAACTTAGAGTTCCAGTTCAAAAGTTAAGGACATGTAGTCCTGAAGTCCTGAAGTTAAGGACATGTAGTCCTGAAGTCCTGAACTTAGAGTTGCAAGACAAAAGTTAAGGACATGTAGTCCTGAACTTAGAGTTACAAGTTCAAAAGTTAAGGACATGTAGTCCTGAAGTCCTGAAGTTAAGTTCAAAAGTTAAGGACATGAGCAGAAGGGTATTTTCGTCCGGGCAGTTAAAGTTTATTAAAGCAGTGGCTAAAGACTAAAGACATTTTAAGCAGTGGCTTAAAAGTAAATACATGTGTTATTAGTGGCTAACCGTGCACTTCCCCCCTTAAATGAGCAACACTTTCCACTTTGTTATTAATGGTCTATAATTTATATGACAATTTGTCACAATAATGCAACACCATTTTCACAAAATTCAGAGTCCGCCAAATATGATTGTTGAATTATACTCCCTCCCTTACTTTTACTTGGCATGTATATTAAAAATAGATTTTTAATTTTACTTGTCACTTTACGCATATCAAGAGAAGACATTTCTTTTTTCTTGTACCCACATTATTTATTACTCATTTCAAATCATTTTCTCAAATCCAATAAAATATGCATCAATTAATATGGGTATCGTGATAAATTATGCACTTTATTTATTATTTCTTAAGGGGCGTAAAAAGTCAAAACGTGCCAAATAAAAGTGAACAGAAAGAGTATTTATATATGGACCAAAAGATTCCAACTCCATATAGTAAAAAAGTAATAAAAGAGTTAAAATGAAACTTGAGGGAAGAGGCTAGCTCGAATTGAATTATGTATATTGACTATTAACCATACTACATAATAGACGTTTACTGCATGCCATAAAAAAATTTGTCGACGTGGCAAGACACTTATAACATGTAATGAAATTAACTAACCTTTGTTTGCTTCAGCTGCTCACTTATTAGGTAGTAATAAATACAAATAATATAAAAACTAACTTATTTAGTTATTACGTTTTCACTAATTTAGCTACCTTCAAATGGCAATAATTTCTTTTCCTTTACAAAAGTTATGATAGTTCAACCTGATTTTAATTATTATTTTTTTTAAAAAAAAAGAAGATGCAAAGTGAGCAGAGCAGAGTAAGGCTAGAAAGAAATTTCTCTGTTCCAATTGAGTAGAACATATGTTTGAAAAATTCTAAAATGTTTCAGATATTCTGCTATGAATTATACTTGCTTAACGGATGGATCACACTCCTAGACAGTTCAGATTAAATAAAAAGGAAAAAACTAACCAATAAGCAGTGTTTACACCAAAGCACATTACTTTACCATGATTAAGTGGTAAATTGAAGCAATAATATAGTTAATTCATCATAATTAGTGATAAAGGTGGATATTGAAAAGACACGTCATTTATTTATTGGTTTAGTGTAAACACCGGATAAAGAAGGAGAACCGCCACGAAAATAGCCAACATGTATGCCCATTCGCGTTACCAGCCTTCTGAATGTAGTTTACTCAACATACACATCAGAATATGCATTCAGATAATTGACCAACCTTGAGGACTTTTTGCTCACCTTCAACCCCACCAACTATTGTGTTATTATACTTTGTGAAGGGAGAGTGAAGAGAGATGAAAATTTTCAAAATCAAAAAGATGCTATCATCCTAAGCAGCAGTGGATGCATTAACCAAAAATGGGGGAATATGATGCTCTAAAACAGCCAATAATTCTCTTCCCTGGTTTACCTCTTCCAACACGACGCCGTCAAGCCTTTTCGCTGCTTCCACGAGCTGCCCCCTAAGCCTCTGTGATAACAAGCAACCCCCTGTCTTGACACATTCCCTATACAGCGGCAGGTATGCTATTGCTACTCTCAAGGGCCCGGGAAGATCCCCCAAACACACGGGAGAATCCCCCCATTTCAAAATACGCACAATGTTCGAGTAATGTTCTTGTCCTTGCCTAAGCCCGTCCGAGAAAGCAGCTTCCGACCAATGCTCCCTAAGGAAAGACCTGAGCTCAGGAGCGACGGCCTCGTCGTCTGACTTAGCGATGCTGTCCGCGACCGCATAAGTAGCAGCTGGATCACCGAGGAAGTCTGAACTTAGTAGAAATGCTACACCATCGAGAGATCCGCCACTTCTTTCACCAGCAGCCTTAAGAATCTCGATACTTAGTGCAGCAAGAACATGCTGAGGAACGTGAGGAAGGAGATATTCGGCAACTTCAACCTGACTACTGGAGGTAGCAGCTGTGAGGGCGAGACATAGTTCCATGTCTCTGCAACCTCTTTTAACAAACCAGTCAACTACCTGAATGCAGCCCCTTTCAGCAGCTCTCATCAAAGGTCCTAAGAAAGCCATCGCATTCCCTTCTTCCACTAGACATTCCATAGTTCCAATTTTACCATAATGGGAGGCGAATCCCAGAGCCAAGTCTACATCAACGTCCAAGCTATTCCTTTGAGCAATCTATGAGAGAAAACAACCAAGCAAAGATGAGGATAATAAATATGCGGGAGAAGAGAACACAGCAACAACCAAATAATAAAATATCAAGGTGTAACTTTTGCTCCTAAATTCAAGCCTCAGCAATCATACAAAGAAGTGGTGAAAAGAAGCATTATAAATAAGAGAAACACCACGACTGACCAGAATGAAGTATAAATCAATTAGACTGCCACTGGAAGTAATAAAACAAGACCAGTACCGACGTTATACAAATTTACCAGCATCAAAATCATGATGTGTTCATCAGGACATCAAGCATAAGTGAGCTGAAGTACAAACAAATTACAACAGCAGAATATTCTTGACAACATAAAACCCATCTGTTTATCAGTTGCCAAAGCAAATATAACCATACTATAGTACACCTCAATCAATAATGCAAGACAAATAACTCAAAACATTTACAACTTCAATGGATTTTAGCCCCCCTGTACCCCCCCCCCCCCCCCCCCCAAAAGTGGATCGTTCTCATGCCAATCACAATCAATCAACTGGACCACCACAAAGCCCCCAATCTAGAGAAGAAATTAAGAGTATCCAAAATAGAATAGCTTACAAAAACACAAAGCAATGCCCAATAGCTGAACATCAATGAAGTCGGCAATATCACCAACTTCTTCCTTGCCAAATTAAATGAACTTTGGCATACAAAAAAAAAAAACACTAGCTCATTTTCCTATTTTCCCCTTGTGAAAAGAAAATAAAGACATACCGCTGTGCCAGTTTATAGATTAGTTAGCTGCCATATTTAAAGAGAAAAAAGGTTTAATTTCTATAAACAAAATTTGAGGGTTTGCGAAGATATATTAATACACCGGACGTTGTTTGTTTGATGATAGTACCTGATCATTTGCTCTTCGTTTTGTCTACTTTCTTACTCCGCCAGTGATCATACTCCAACACGTGTGCGCGTGCACACTCACATGACCATTTTGTGGGATGTGAAGCAGTGAGAGCAACAACATGATGTGATTCCTAGTGATTAGGCTTCTGAAAGGCCATCGTTAAATTCATAGAGAGAATGAGGCAATGTTGATATCAATGGCTACAGAGGGGTGGCATTACAACTCAACGATTTCGAAGATGCTATGACAGTCACAAGGTTAAAACCTAGGATTATAAGGACATTAAATTTTAGGGACCCTATCCAAGTTGCAGTTGATTCTTGGCATGAACAGTTGTCACTACACAAACATGCGCATGACATCAAATCCTAAGAATCATTTGGGAGTGAACGTTGGGCAAGCTAAAGTCCACATCCACAAGATGAGTGTCTCAAAGATATAATATTGATGGATGTGCAGTCATGCAAGATTAGACAACATTAAAATGAGCACATTCGCTAGAAAGTACAAGTAGCACATATCAAGGAAAAACGAGAGGTTGTTTGGGATGGTTCCGTCATGTCCTGCGTTGACCTCCAGATGCATCGGTTCGTAGATATGAACCCAGGGTGAGTGAAGATGTTAAAAGGGAATGAGGTAAACATAAAATTACATGGAAAGAAGTTGTCTTAAAAAACCTATAATCTCTTGGAATCCATCTGCACTTAGCAAAAGATAGGGCAAAGTGGAAGAAAAGATCTATATGGGCAATATCAATTAGTTGGGACTTGGGACATGTTAGTACGTCTACTCTAGGTCCTATGCCTCTATCAAAAGGATAAAAAAGGAAGACGATTTGCTTCTTATTCCCGTGTTTGAACTCTTCCATCTCTGCCGCCTAGTTGCACGATGCTGTATTGCTCTCCCACAACCCCGTTTTCACGGTTTAAGCACTTCGTGTCAGCGGGCCTTCAAGCATCCGAAACATGCCAGGATCGAAAATGATATTCTAGGAGTCTTTAGCCTTGTCAGAGATTTATATGCCAGTAGAAGATATAGAGAACTTCTAGTACTTCTACTTTTTATTTCTAGTTTGTATGATATTGGCCTGGGAATTGGGATGAGTTTAAATGGAAAAACATGGTCAACGAAGATTCATACAACTAACCCCAAATTGTTTGGGATTGAACTTTGAAGCATAGTTGTTGTATTTGGAGTCAAACCCCCACGTTACTGAATACCATCAGGAAACTACATCCTACCTTTTTGTTCTTTTCTTTCAAGTAGAAAACACATTTTTTACATAATCAATTGTGTCATTTTCTAATGACATTCAGAAGAAAACCAACATTGTTAAAGGCGAAAAACGTAAAAGTGCCAAGTCTACTAGCACTTTAGCTGCAAAGTACAATTAATGCTTGCAGTTTAGTGAAAAAGGTCCAAATGACGAGAAAAATAAAAGAATCTTATATACTTACGAGAAAAATCAATATTACCACAAACAACAATATATGGACAAATGAATGGTGGAGAAAGAAAAGTAAAAGTCAAACATAGCAAAGTAAAAAGTAAAAAGTAGCCTACAAAGCTCAATCCCCGATGAACATTTTAAATTATTGATTCAGATGCAAGAATGCAATTTTAGGTTCCTAACAGATTATAAGTTTCTAATGCAAGGATTTGGTGAGTAGAGTTTTAACTAAGCTTCTCATTTCCTATTTCAGGCCACTACCATAATCATCCATAAGATTTCTCTCATACACTCAATCTATATATGTCTAGTGTGGGTCTGTATGTACCTTTGTTTGTTATATGTTTTGTTTAACAGTTTCCTCTCCAAGTGGAAGTGTATATGAGCCACCGCCAATGCCTTAGTATGAATTAGAACACCTCATAACCGGTCTCGTCCTAGTGAAGCTCAAGCCATGGTCTTCTCATTTCAAGATTTTTGTGCTTAATGTTTGTCCATATCCAACACAATGTCTACTGAATGTTGTAGTATTATCAGTGCTATTGCGATAGGTTGACAACCAGCATAAATAGTGGAACTCTGATGAATCTTCTCAATAATTAATTCATTAGGATATACCAATTTCAAACCTCAATGCTATGGTGTAACTTGTTATAATATTAGTAGAGGTAATGAGTTCTCGTGCAGAAATAAAGGCCAAAAAGACACCACTCTAATGAAGTTTCAATCGACTTTCTACCTAACAAGTCACTCCAGCATGCTGCACTATATTTGGATGTTTATCTGCCCTCGCACTAGGAGAAGAACTGGATTAAGGTAAATCACTTCAACTTGAGATCTTCGTCGGTTTTGTGGTGTATATGTAAATTTTTCTTCACTTGTTTATGTCTCTGTTGCTTTTTCTCGAAGTGAAACTGGAGTGAAATGTTAAAAGTACTTTTCTAAGCCTGACTGAAAGTTAAGGGCGAGAAAGAAAGAATGTCAAACAAAACGAGCATTACAAGTGAAACCTAATAGATCAAGCACCATAGAAACACAGTAACCTTGGAAAAATACTAGGAAGTAAAACTGACTAAAAGGGAGGATACGTCTTTCTAAAAGCAAAGGTACAAAACAAATATTGTAAATGCTAGTATACCTGGAGAAGAATGCGGACAAGCTCAGTGCTCCCAAAACGAGATGCTTCAAGAAAGCATTGGTTGACATTGTCCGCACCGCCCTCCACCAACATGCCAAGCAGTCCTTGGATTGCCATAGCTGAAATACCCGATGCCCAGCCCGGATCAAACGAACTAGAGAAGAGTGTAAGTGGGAAGCAAGCTGCATCAAATGCTTCCGTGAAATCCTTTCCTGTAAGGTGGTTCCCAGCAAGATCAAGGAAAGTCTTGAAAGCCGACAACTGTAGTTGTATTTCAACAGCAGCATTATGCCCAACCTTATCCCTGTTCCCTTGGCAGCGGGAATGGAAACCAATACATTTAAGAGCCCATTCAGTGAACTTCTGAACCTTAGCACCAGCTTCTGCCTTCAAAACTTCATCCCCATTGCACTCTTGAAGTCGTTCATGCAACCTGCTAAGAGTAGCGGTGAAAATCCAGCCAAAAGTTGAGCAACACAAGCACCCAACATAAGAATAAAATAGGCATGAAGTGAAAAAGGAAGGGAAGGAAGAAAAACCAATATCAAAAGTTAAAACTCGAACTCTTAAATCATTACCAATTGAAATCCTACACATGCAGAATTGATAACAACAGACCAGCAAAATTATATCAAGATTCTTTATTTACTTTACCAATAAGCAGATGCATGTTCTTAATGCTTACATGTCTGGAGAAGACTGAAAGTACAAATGTCAGCATTAAGAATTTTGGGCAGATATGAATTTCACAGGTTGTTCAAGACTGAGAAGCTAGTAAGATGCTCTTTCAAGTGAAGAGATATGACTCTATAGGGTCACGTCAGTATACATGCCAGCAAAAAATTAGATTTACAAGAAAATCTTTCTAGACCTACGTCCAGAGCGGAAATCCAAAATTCATGGTTTTGGAAGAACTTATGATTTCAAACAATAAGTAGTGATTGTACTAATTATACCAGATATGCATATTTAAGAGATGGTAGAACATCGAATGAAAAATTGAATATCCTTTGGACTTTTTCTACCATCAAAAAGTAAATTCAAGTTTATGTGAGAAAAGTCCAGCTTCAATCACATAAATGATGTAGCGGGAAAAGGGCAAAATCTCTGACCTTTGTGCCATTACAGTCACGGTATCCGCGAGGCTCATAGTCCGACTCTGGCAAGCAGAAACACAAGAAGCAAGAAATGAAGTCCTTAGGGCTGCCCGAGTGAAATCAAAGGCACCATTAGAGATGATCTTCTTAATCAACCCTGTTATCCCATACAACTCTTGTTGTGTACTTAAAAACCATATCGAATCTAAAGCGATGCATAATGCATCATTCAGAGTCAGGGGATCCGCCAGTAGAATCAAACTCTCGGCGAGCTCCCAGTCATGGCAACTCACAGCACCCTGAAACAATCGCCCTAACTCGATCCTCTCTTGTCTATTAAGCTTCTTCTCATGCCCCAATTTCTCGTTTTTCCCAACCTCACAGTCTGAACTAGACAATCTGGCTTTAAGTTTATTAACTCCACAATTACACCCTCCTCCTCCTCCAACTATAGCAGATGATCTAAAGTCTTTACATACAAGCGGAGATTCTCTAGAAAATACCACATTACCATTGCTTCCTTCACCATTCTCATTGCTCAAACCAGGTATTCCAGTCTCACAAGATTCCACTTCCATCTCAAAACACTGAGACTCTTCTGTATTAATCTTGATCCCACTTTCTATTCTGTCTTCTTCCATTTTTGACCAATCAAATTCAACACCCAAAACTGTCCACCAAACAACTAAACAATCAATTCTTCCAAGAAACACCCATGAGGTAAAATAGGATCAAAAATCCAAACAAAATCTCAAAATTTGAGCAAAGCCTCTCCCTTTAGCAAAATTTAGACAAAACCCAGAATTTGTTTTTCCTCTTCCTCTTCCTCTTCCTCTTCCTCTTCCTCTTCCAACACACAAAAAAGCCCCAAACTTTACACCAATGAAAGATCAAACTCCACCATATTGCACAAAAAACAAAAATCGGACCTTGATATCCATTTCAACAAAAACTAGAGGATCCAAGAAAACCCCAAAATCAACATATAACAGCAAGTTATGCCCAAAAGTTCAGATTCCTAAGTTTACCATAAAACCCCTCTACCATCAAAAACCCAATTTTTTTCCGAGAAACAAATCCACCTCAAAACCTACAAGGAAACAGATTCTCATTAGCTACGAAAAGGGTATGCAGAAATGAAAAAATTAACCCAAAAAAAAAAATAGACAGATTCTTAAAGAAAAATACACAAAAATCAGCTTACATAATAGAATTATCACCACAAAAAAAAAAAAAGTTGGTGAAATAACGGAAGGAGGAAAAAAAAGGAGTGAAAATAATGGAGAAAGAAACCTGATATAACAACTAGTGGGGGAGAAAGTGAGAAACCCTTTGCCCCTTGTTGTTCTTGGATGGTTAAGAGTATTTTGCCACTTTTTTATTAATATGTTTCTCTCTTTTTTTTGTCAAGTTTCTCCTGCAATTTTACATTTGTTTATTTCAGATTTGTTTTTCCATTTTTCTACTTCACGGAATCTTAACACCTTTATTGCCCAACAGAATAAGATTTTTAAAAAGGGAAATAAAAAACAACAAATAAAAATCTGAGGAATCAATTTATTTTAAATCCGAAAATTGAATTAATTGGTACGTTTTGCTTTACGGGTATAATATCTGTATTATTTTTTTTATCATTTTTTATCCTATCCAATTAAAGCATCATATAACGATAAATAGCTACTTATATTATAGAATATTTATAGATAATCTACTATTACTAATTTATACTGGTTAAAATAAAACATATTATAAAATATTTATATTATTATCACGTAAAACTATATTTCTATGATATTTATCAAATTCTTTCTCGTTCCCTCATATTGAGCCTCTCACATGTTCAAAAAAATTATTTGAGTTTGAAATATTCTTATAATTTAAACCATAAAAATTAATTATTTTTGCGTCCCAATGATCTAGTCTAAAGGTCAATAAATTGGATGCAAACCTTCAAAAATCAGGGTTTAAATTTTAACAAAAAAATAAAATACTAAATAATTCTTTTTATTATGCTAGTAAAATAACAGATACGTAGTAAATAATCGAGATGTTCACAAACAAAGCGAGACGTACTGTTATTTTAAAAAAAGAATAGAACCATTCGTTTTATTAAAAAAAAAAAGATAAAATTCGTTTCTTGCATACACAAAAGGGAGGACATGTCTTTCTATAACTTTTACCGGAATAATTTAATGGAGGACAGTAGGAATATTTTACTTGAATATTTAAAAACTTTTATTTTTATATAATTTCAGATGTCATTGTTCTTTCTAATATGCTTAAAGATTATGATGAAAAAGGAAAAGTGAAAACTACAAAATAAAATTGGAGGACAGACAAGAGTGGACTGACTACTGAGTCATGAAAGTGAGAGTCCCTCTTACTATAACAACACACCACAAAAGGTTGGCCCCTCCATGGGCCCCACTTATCACCCCCTCCCCCCACCCCCCGTTTCCATCTACAATCATTACACAAAACAAAACCCCCTAACCCCTTGTCTCTCTTCTTTTCTTTTTTATTTTTAAATTACTTTTTAAATTAAAAAAGAAGGCCATCATAAAGATTTTCTTAAAAAGTCATCCTCCTGCTTTTTACTTAGTTCAGACCAACTTATACACATTTTGGCTAATTTTACAGAATTTTGTTACCTTTTACGCATATAAGTATCGAATAGTTCTATCCACTAAAATTTGATAAAATAATAGCTAATTTTAACATAAATTATTAAAAGGTATTCTTGACTTTTTGATTTCTAAAAGTAGTCATTTAGAGGGTACAACAACAAGAACAACCCAGTATAATTCCGCTAGTGGAATTTGAGAGGGTAGAGTATGCGTAAATTTTACCTCTATCTGGAGAGATAGAAAGGTTGTTTCCGGGAGACTAGTAATTTAGAGAGTGATATAATAAATTTTTTATAACATTACTTTTTAATTTAGTTAACTAATTAATTTATGAAATTGACATTTTAAAAATGTGAAATATACTAAGTAAATAAAAATATAATTAGTTGTAACTATTTTTTACTCTATTGAATGAAGAAAAAACGAATTAAAGAAAATTGTGTTACAGTTTTCTGAAAGGAAAAATAGGACAAATTAATAGGTTAATACGAATTAGATAAAAATATAGTGAGTTGCAAAAAAAAAATCTAACTTGTAGCAAATGAGAAAGAAAATTAATTAAAGACAATTATATTTCACTTTAAAACGAAAAAAAAAGGACAAATTAATAAGTTAATTTAGTACGAGAAAAAATTAAGGTTGTAAAACTGCAGCTAACCAATACAATGAGTAAATAGATTTTGCTGTGATGGTGGTTATTCTTGGATTTCCTTTCGAGAAAAAAGAGTGAACTTATCAATTTCTATATTTTGGGTATTTTTTATCACTATAATTGTTATAATAATTATTATTATATGATAATTGTGGTATTCGAGTTAGATCGCGCACTAAAATTAATTTTATGTGGTATTTATTGATTTTCACCTGCATAAGTATTGGATGACTCTATCTATCAAGTTTTTGACGGATGAAAAGATAATATTACCTTGTGTTTTGGCTTTGTTGTGATTTATATTGAGGAATTTATAATTATTTTATCACCTCCCTTTGGAGTGGGTCCTACAGCATCTATAATCATTTTTAATTATATTAAAATATGATATTCATAGGGATTAGTAGCTGAGATCAATTGTACTTGCACAATTTTTTAATCGAGCAGTATTTTTCAAGTTTATTTTTTAAAATATTTTAATGAGCTTATTCATGACTTCATGTACATTGGCTACACTTGTTGCTTCACTAAAACTGAACACACAACTCATAATTTTAAAGCATTTGATTTTCTAAGGAGGGGATGAGTGTGATGACGACTTCCCGTCTCTATTGTATTCTCAATGATCAAATGTCTGTTTTGTCCTCTTGTCGTATTTGAAAAGGCCATAATTTTGTGACACGAGTGAAGGCTTTCTGTAATTACAGTCCTTAGCGTTGCGTCGTTCTATTATTGGGCCCAATCCTATAAACGTTTTTTGGGCTTGATCCACGCATATCACTTTTGTAGCCTTTTTACCTAGCTTTACTATGATAGAAACCTATTTATCATATTTATTTAGGTTCCTTATTAATTACTTTGTATATCTATATTTACAAATTATATACGAAACCATTAAAAAGAAAAAAAACTCAAGATCCCCGACACCGACCTCTCATTTTCAATAACTCCCCCTACATTTAATAATCACCCAAAATCTCTCTTTTATTTTTATCTCACCCCCCCCCCCCAAATTTCCAATTCTTTTTCTTTTTCAAAGGTTTTCAAACCCAATTTATCTCTTTCTTACTAATCACCCAAAATCTTTATTTCTTATTGATACAATGCATATGAAATTTGGAATATTGCTCTAGAATCAAGTTGTGGGTAAGTTTTGAATCTTGTTTTCTTTTTTTTCTAAAATCTTTATTGTATGTGACTTGTATATGATATATCAATACCCAGAACAATACTCATACAATAATATAATTATAATATGATTATATTAAATCTTTAGTGTAGAGTTGTGATTGAAACTTGAAGAAGATGAAGATCATAATTGTATCACAATTTTTCAAAAATGTATCGCGATTGTATTATAATTGTATATGTATCATAATTATTGCAGAAATTGTATTACAAATGTATGATAATTGTATATTCACTTTATATTATTACGAGTAGTTGTGAGTTCGTAACGAAATTCATAGTATGTATCACAAGTATGACAACTGTATATTAATTTATTAGAATTGTATTACGTATTATTTTAGGTAATAATGTACCAGATACAAGTATGATACAATTATGCTTTAGGCATTGATATATCTGATATAATTCAAATATAATTATGATACAGTTATCATATAATTATGATATAATTTCTGAATATTTTTTAATAATATAAAATTTTCGACAATTGTGGGAAGAGAGAAGATGGAGATTTTGGGCGTAAATTAAGGGATTTTGATGTAAAACAAAGTAGATAGAAGAGGAGAGGGGGAAAAAGGAAAGGATATAATTCGATCCCTTAATTGAATGCACTAATAATGGGGTGGGAGCCTTTTAAGGAGTAATGTATACAATTTGTAAGAAAAACCTAGATACTTATTAAAAATTACAAAACGTAGAGAACATAGGTAAATAATTTTCTAATATAATATAGCTAGATAAAAATCCCTATATTTAGAAGCTGGCCGCTTTTTCCGGAAAAAAAAAAGTACTTACTGGATTGTTAAAATATAAACTACCAACAATCTCCTACTAATTTGTAATTTTTTTCTTCACTTAATAGATACTATGCTTAATTTTCATGAATGTTTTAACCAATATAATACATTATTAAACCTTGGTTCTAGAGATTTGAAATATACTTGGTCAAATAAGTGAAAGAAAGGAAATAGGTCAATATTGAAGTGGCTAGATAGATGCTTGGCAAATCATGAATGCATGAACATTTATCAGAAGGCGAATGTATTGCGCTTACCTCGAACTCACTTTAGTCGTAATGTAATGATCCGACCGGTCGTTTTGAGTTTTAATATTTTGTTCTGTGATTTGAGACTTCGAGTGACTTCATATGGTGTACTGTAACTTGCCTGTATGGATGATTTTGATTTTCAAGTGGTTCAAAATAGATTTGATGGAGTGATTCTCAATTTAGAAGCTTTAAGTTGGAAGGGTTAACCAATGTTTAACTTTTGAGTAAACGACTTCGAAATCGGGATTTGATTTGTATGGTGATATTGGATTTGGGCGTATGTTTGGATTTGAATTTAGATGTTCGTATGAGGTTTTGGGTCTATTTGTTGAAAGTTGGCAATCCGAAGAATTGGAGAGATTCGTAGGTTTGACCGGGAGTTGGCTTCGCTGTTATGGGGATCTTATTGTGGGTTTTTGAGACCTTAGTTAGGTCCTAATGATTGATATGAACTGGTGCACAAAGTTTGGTTGTATCTGGAATGTCTAAGTGTGATTCAGAAACATTCAACGAAGCTTGAAGGTTTGAAAGTTAAGAGAATGATTTGATCTTCGCTTCTTGATTTTGATATTAATTGTGGTGCTTTAAGCCTTTGCGTAAGTTTGGATAATATTTGGACTTGTTAGTGTGATTGGACGGGGTTCCGAGGGGCTCTAGTGAATTTCGGATTGATTCCGGATTCTTTTGGGAGTTGCTTGGCACAGCTGATTCTCGTGCATTGCACATACGAGTAAGGTTGCGTAGATCCGAAGTCGCGATGCATTTGCACAGATAAGCATGCTGGTCATGTTGGGGAAGATCGTTGATGCGGGGATGTGTCGCTGCTATGGTACCGCATCTGTGAGCACATGATTTTTGCCCTATGTGAAACACTCCTACAAATTAAAAAAAAAATTCTCCTAATAG